TCCTTCCCAACACTGCACTGACTATATGATATACATGGCCCACACTGAATTGTGACCAGTGTTACCACTGTGAACACAAGCTCTGCCTGACAACATCATGTCCAGCTCTATATACTTCTTTCTATTTCTATGACCAACTCAGAATCCTTTGCATTTATTGCCATGGTACTTCAATGAAGACCAAAAACATGCATGAGAACTAAAACTCTCTGTACAAACTTTAACTGCAAACATACTGACAGTTGCTTCAACAATTTTATGGAAGTGTTCAACTTTCAGGCAGTTTTTCTGGAACTACAGTTCTAGACATCTCAATCATGTGCTGCATTTTACATCTTCACTTTGTGCAACACAGGAATGATAGAATACTTCCAAGTATCTGAGAAACTACTATCTTCAAGAGGACAAGATGAAATCTACAAAATTAAGCAAGATATCCTGTTAGCTTTAGTCTTAAGGAAACAGGTGTAGGAGACAGAAATGTGATCCTTTCTCTACAAGAGTATCCATCACAGTACTGTAGACTAGACTACAGTACTCTGGATTGTATTCTAGACTGCAAAGCCTAGACAGCCTATGAAATTTTTAAAGGGCTCACATAGACATGACTTGAAAAATTTTACTCCCTGAGCCTAAATAAACATAAATAAACATCACCACACCATAATAAACATCACCACAATGTGACAGATAGTTGCCAGCCACAAGACAAACAAGAACCCAGATTTGTTTGAAAAAGGTATGTAAGAGGATCAGACTTTCAACCAGTAAATAAGCTCCACAGTGGCAGCTGAATCAAGTGTGGAAAAAATGCCAGGTAACAGTGATCAGCAGGACATCCTAAAGTGGATTTACTCTTGATCTTCAAGCAGAGATGATAGAAGGCAGCAGGAATTGATGAAGTCTTCAAGTGCAGAGCACCTGTCTCCTTGTACTAAAGGCAAAAGTATTACCAGAGTTTCACACCTCATACACAAGTCTATGAATGTGAAATACAGTCCCAGACTAGCTCTCTAAGCACATCCTGCCTCACTTTCTAGACAGAACAAGCATTTGCTAAACTGAAAATTAAATCCATACATAAGCATTATTGGTTGTTCAAACACAGTGAAAGAGACAAGAAATCCAGCCCTATTCATGAGCAGGTTCCCTTCTAAAGAAAAAAAAAACTTGTTGATTTTATGAGCATACGATTATTTTAATAAGAGAACAGTACGGGAGCTTTGAAGCCAAGAAAACCAATACTTTTCCAAATTTAAGACATCTGAGTTAGCTGCTTTCTGAAATTAAGGAGTCTATATTCCATGAGTTTCAGTTTGGCTAACAATGCCACTAGCACAATTGAAACTGGGAGATTATTCTACAATGTGAAAATTAAGCATTAATCTTCCACATGTACAATTGAAATTGTACTGCGGACAGCGGGAATTAAAAGAATTCAGTACCTTTTTTTTTTTTTTTTAAGGAGACTACAGTCACATTTTACCTATATTCAACTTTCAGAAAAGTAGGTCTAGAAAATATTTACCATACTACGGTATCTCTTACTTTTTAAGTGCTAGCTATTACTGTTTCTTTTATTTTTTCAAAAGCTGCTAAATCCATCTATCTTGTGCAAGCAGAAAGCATGGGCTCTTTAAAGTGCTTCACCAGGGGCAGCTCCAGCAATTAAATTTCATCCCATTTTATCCTCTTCCCTAACATCTTGAGTATTTTTATCTTATTTTTTGTAACCGTACACGCTTAACATTAGATTACATAAAAGGTTATCATTATATGACAAATGTTATCTCTCTTGCCTTTAATATGTAGAAGCACTTAAATTAAACTAAAGAGCTATCTGAAGCGGCTGACTGGAATTCAGTTATGTTGCTCTCGAGACCAGGGTCTCCTACCTATTGTACAAGCAAAATCAACTTATGCGGTAGTTTTGCAGTTTGTATTGACATATATCTGCATTAGTCAAAAGCACGTAAGAGTTAACACAGACTCTAAAATATCTAGGCACAATGACTCATTCCTGACAGATTCTCTGGTTAGCAAGTGAAGACAAAGTGACGTTCATGACCCACTTATCAGATGCTGTTGTCAGTGGGATTCTCACATGAAGAGAGACTCTTGTTCAGCACCCTTTAGAATCTTCAATACTACCAACATTTAATTTATTTACCTTCGGTAAAACAGCATAACAGCAATCAGCTACTTTAATTCTTACAGATAACACCTGAAATAGTTTTCTGCCAATAGAGAAAGCAGACTTCACTTCAGCTACTAATGCCACCCCAACAGAAAGTTCCGCCCATGAAGTGCATGCTTGGAGATGACCATCAGCTTTTTACCTTATTCACAAGTAAATCCCTAGCTAAAAATCAATAAAATAATCAGGACTTGGACTTCAAACTGCCCACATGAAATTAGTAAATGAACTCCAGGGTGCCTCCTTCCCCTCAAACAGGTTCTCCAGAGGAAAAAACACAGAAGGCCTTCAAGTTCAACTCCTCTCAGTCCTAGAGTGTGCAGACAGCTTCAAGGAAATGGGGCACTTTCACCTCTAGTGGGAGGTTCGCCTGCCCATGGCAGGGAGGTTGGAATGAGGTGCTTATTAATGTACCATCCAACTGAAACCATTCTGCTATTCTACAATAAAGAAAGTGCACGTCAGTGTCGCAGATGTGATCACAGAGTGAGTACTAAATAACAGGGTGGGAGACAACTTGGCTTAAATTCATCGGATGCCAATGAGTATTTGGGTCAAGATGACAGTGGCTGGCCATGATCTCTCTGTATTTTAACACATGGCACTGCCAACCCAGTGATCCTGGCAGGAGTAACTCTGACTTTCAGAACTGTGTTTCTAACTGGGCACAGCTGCAGAAATCACACTTCACACACAGCCCCACCAGATACCCTCTGGGGCAAACAAGCTGATCTCTGTCCCAGTGGGCTGTGGGCTTTGGTTACTTCCTTGCCCACCAGTGGCAGTGGCCATGAAGTGAAACGCAGTCTTTGACATTGAGCTTGCATGGAACCATTCCAAGCCAAGAATAGGACTGGATTGGCCCATGTGTGTTGCCACAAACTCCATTCTGTTTGCAAACTAGCAGGCACAGAGTGGTGTAGACACAAGCCTTTACAGACCTTGGTGATACCATAAGTGTAGAAGTGTACTTCCTTCTGCACTACCCTAATCTTATTTAAAGATACTCACCAAGTAACTAGCACTCATGACAGTTCATTTAAGACAGACAAAAAAATATTACATTTTAACAGAAGAATTAAACCAATAAAAGTCTGAAATTCATGCCATATGAATTTCACAGAACCTGGTAACAATCCTTCTTCAGAATTTAGAAGGAAAAGAAAAATTTGCTTTTCAAAACTCTCTGAAGAAAATCTGAAAATAAGTAAGAACAGGACTGAAAGTCAAGAGCTTTCTCCTAAGCATCTATAAACACAAGGTTATCTTGCTCCAGGCTACTTAAATCAGAAGCATTGCTCCCAATGAAGCTGCAAGGTCAGACACCATACTTCTCAATCTCACTTATAATCCTAAAACCTTTTGGCAAGATTGATGCAGCATTTTTGCTGGCAGTTGAAAGTGTATCTCAAAGCTGAGGATCTGCTCTCTGATAAAGTAGAAAAACTATTTATCTCCAATAATTTCAACACTGGAGTTCTTTACTACTGAGGATGTAATTTAAATTCAGGATCCTTCTCAGGCATCACTTCATGCTATAAAGGAAACATCACACCTTGAAACAAGAGGTCTACAATTAAGTCCAGTTCCATTCCCAGGTATGAAATATTTTGAAACTATGTAGCAGCAACAGTGTGCTTCTGGTATACAGAACATCAGACCCATCATGTAAGGAAGTGGACAATTTGAACATTTATCATGAGGTCCTTGAGGGTTATTTCTGTGGGCCTGAAGTAGCAGCCTTTGAGGTTATTCCTAAGCAACTTCGATAAGGAGGTTAAACATGCTGAACATGTGAGACACACAAGACAGAGAAAAACCATCTTTGAATAGCCATCCCACTAACTGATGAAGTACCAGTTACATCTTTCCACTCCCAGAAAAAGAGGTCAGGAAACACCTAAGGAAGGGACCTTTTGTTTCAAAGCATTGAAGTCATTATCTACAAATAAAATATGCTTGTTTTCCCCATCAACTAGATTTCACCTGAAGACAGCAAGCTGTGGCGTCAGCCCCATCTGGTTACTTTGGCATCCCCAAGAATATTCAGTCATCTTCACACTGAAGAGCAAAGATTGCTTGAAGGTTTGGTCAGGCCAGATGAACTAAAAGCAGTGATTTCAGTATCTCAGATTACCATGCTGAAGGAGGGTGCTTCAAAGATTTACCCACTCCACTACCTAATGTCTTAAGAACAAGCCATCTGCTGTGGGAAGATGTGTGGGTTATTCAGAGCCATAAGGGAAACCAACCACACTCAGCCAACAGAAGTCAGCCAGAGACTGCTCAATAAGAAGGAAGCCAAAGAGCATAAACAGATAAACGGATACAAGTGTGCTAAAGAAACTGTTCCAGGGCTGCAATTCAAAAGCAGCTTAACCTGTGAAGTAAGATAATCTGCCCCTTTTCCAAGGTACAAACTTCATTAGCTGCATCCCTGAAAAGAAGCAGCTTTGCATCAACAAGCACCGAAGTCTAACTTCAATGAGGCTGAATTACAATTCAGGAAACTTTGTATAAATATCTGCCTTTCCAGACATGAATCTTCTTTCCTAGTACCCTGAAGTCCAGGTTTAAACGTGCTGTTAGCATTTATAGCACTCAAAGTAACCCAAATTAAATGCAAATAAATATGCTTAATTTTGGGGCATATAACTAAAAAAAATTATTAATATAAGTTCCTTCTGACTAGCATTGGTTCATTCTGCCTTTATTCTATTACTTAGGAGAATTGCAGAATACCATCTGAGAGTTTGCTGTTTGGAAAAATGAAAAGATACAGAAAACTCCAAAACCAACATACCTGTTATTTTGTCCCTGACAAGCTTGCAGGATTCTATCTCCCCAATGCTGCCAAAAAGACTCTTCAGTTCCTCTTGTGTCATGTTTTGTGGAAGGTAGTTGACTATTAAATTGGTCTTGCTGTCTTCTGTGTTCCCAGAATCAACTGGTGACGAGCAATTGTTTATGGTGGCTGAACCATGGGCTGTGTTATTACAAGTTGGTCCATTAGACAGTTGTGTTTCCATGGCAGCAATTACCTGCTGAAAAGAACAGATAACAAGAACCATCAAAATTCATATTTCAGTATCTAGTAGTAGAGTCCAAACAAGAACCTAAAAGACCTGTCACTATGCAGAAATGGTATTGCCAAGGCCACATACTGCCTCTACATGCAAGAAAAAACCCAAACACCAGTACAGAAGGGCATTAAACTGTTAGTCAAGTCAATACTTTAAAACCTTGTAACAAATAAACTGTATGTTCTACAAGTTCACTAAATGAAATCAGCATTCAAAGCTTAGTTTCCATTCTCTGCCATTCCTCCAATTTAGGGGAATCACAGCCTTTCTATTACACAAGTTACCAAATAAAACTGCCCTGTTGCAAGAGTAATCATTTCTGTTAACTTACAACTGGTTACTGAAATAACATGAAATGTAGTTTTTAATGAAGCAGTATTTGAATATTTACAAAAAGAGGTGGGCATTAAATGTATCCAGAGAGTACTTCTCACAAGAAATAGCAGAGATCAAGGTTAGTATTTTAAAGAGGTACTTAGAGGATATATTAATTAGCTGGGATGGAGAATATACTCTTTTACAACAATCATGTCAAATTTTTTTCACCACAGGTTGGAATCAGGCTTCTAGGTGCTTTTACTGGACTGACATTTTCTTACTATTTCTTCCCTCACCTGAACTATGAGAAGAGTTAAATTTGAATCTTGATCTTAATGTACTTTTGGACCACTCCAGAATACTCTGTGCCTGGGAGACCACAGAACTGATCCTCCTAGAACCTGTGCTAAGGCAGATGGTGAACAGGAAGTGATCTGAGACAGCCAACATGGCTTCACCAAGGACAAGTCCTGTCAGACCAACTAAGTGGCCTTTCTGTGATGAAGTGACTCTATCAGTGGACAAGGGAAGGGCTACAGATGTTATCTATCTAGACTTATGTAAAGCCTTTGACACAATCCCCTACAATCACGATTTCACATCTTTATCTCTAAAATGGATAAGAAAGGGATTGGATGGTTGCATCCAGAGGTGGTAGTCAATAGCTCAGTCTTGACAGACATCAGTGACAAGCGGTGTCTCTCAGGGGTCCATACTGGGACCAGTGCTATTCAATTTCTTCACTAATAACATAGACAAATGGATCAGGAGCACCCTCTCCAAGTTTGCTGATGACCCCAAGGTAAGTGGTGCTGCTGACACTCCTGAAGTTCAGGATGTCATCCAGGGGGACCTGGACAGGCTTGAAAAATGGGGACCATGGAAATCTCATGAGATTTAAAAAGACCAGGTTCAAGGTGGTTGCACATGGGTCGGGATACTCCCAGTACCAGCACAGGCTGGGGGATGAACAGATGGGGAGCAGCCCTGTGAGAAGGGCTGGGGGTGCTCCTGGACATGACCTGGCCATGAGCACTCACAGCCCAGAAAGCCAAATGTGTCCGGGGCTGCATCTAAAGCAGCGTGGGCAGCAAGGGCAGGAGGGGATTCTGCTCCACCTGGAACCCTGCATCCAGCTCTGGGGCCCCAGCACAGGAAGGACATGGACCTGTTGGAGTGAGTTCAGAGGAGGGCCTGGATTAGAGGGACGGAGCACATCTCCTTTGACAAAATGCTGGGAGAATCAGGTTTGTTCAGCCTAGAAAAGACATGACTTTGGAGTAGCCTAATTGTGGCCTTTTAGTACCTGAAGGGATTTTACAAGAAAGAGGGAAAGAGACATTTTTGAAGAGCATGTAGTGACAGGAAAAAGGGGAACATCTTCAAATTGAAAGAGAGTAGGTTTTGATTACATATTAGGAAGAAATTTTTTACCATGAGGGTGATAAGGCACTTGCCCAGCGAGACTGTGGATGCCCCATCCCTCAAAATGTTCAAGGTCAGGTGGGATGGAGCTTAGAGCAACCTAATCTAGTGGAAGATGTCTCTGATCATGGCAAGTGTGTTAGAGACAGACAATCTCCAAGTACTTTCAACTCAAACCAGTCTGATTCTACTGTGTCTCACCCCAAAGTCACCGATTGTTTGACTGCAAGATGTAACATAAATAATTAGGAGGAGTCTGCTTGTACACAAGCACTTGTTCACAAGCTGCCACATGTAAAAAAGACACTCTGCCGCCTCAGTCAGTGACTGAATGGCAACAGCTGGTAAATGCAATGGATTTTTAATGGCATCTTAGTATCTAAGATTCAGGCAGCCTACCCTGTTTGGGACCAACTGTTTGGGACAACATGCAAGAGAAAATTATGTACATTAACTCTCCAGTAATACATATTTCAACACAAGAAGTTCACTAAAGAAATCCATCAATCACTGAAATTCAGCCTGATAATTAAACTGCTAAGAGGAGCTCTCACAAAAAAGCCTCTTGTAAAATCACAAACCAGCATCAGGATCTCTGATGGATTTGTCCTAACAGTTCTGTTTAAAGCACCATAGGCAATCAGTGCGTATCCAAACAGCTACTGAGGTGAACTGTGTTCAGGGACTGCTGAATAACTGAATTTCCTAAAAATATGAGAGGGGGTAAGTTGAGTTTCTTACTAGAAGTTCAACTTTTATATTCCTGGGAACACATTTCTGTGTTCTGTGTTTTGCATACAGAAGTATTTTCCAAGAGGTTACTTCAGCACAATGCAAAAAAAAGGGATACATCTATTAAGAGCACTCACTAGAAAAGCGTGATCTTGTTTCCCTGAAGAGCTGCAATGAGAACAACATTTTCTTCCTTGTGACAAACTCCAAGGAGCAACCTGCTTCTGACACTGATGAAATAAGTCCACTGAAAAGATGATAAAGTAGATTATCCCAATTCAGGATAATTTACTTTTCAAAACACTAGCATACCTGTTAAAGGTAGTAGTCACAAATGCTGTGCTCTGAGGCTCTGTAAGATTGCCTTTTTCCTTTATTTGTGCTTTATTCTCAAATTTGAAGTGTTCATTTATCAAAATTAGCAGGATTTAGCAAGGACAACAAACCATTCTCTCTTAATTGCACATTTATTTTCACATTCAGGTGGCAAGTATGGGATCCTAAGCCAACATTCAAGTGAACAGCTGCAGTAGCCTGTGTGTGCTGAAAATTACAGCATCTCTCAGCTATAGAACCATCTGCTCTGAATGAAGTGATACTAATATGTTTTACAAATAATGCATACCCCACTAATAGGCTAAAGAGAACTGTTCATAAAAGACAAAGCACTAAATAGTTTTCACTCAGAAAAATAGTTTGAGATAAATTCACAGTTTAAAAGAATCTTAGAATAGACTGGAAAATATAATTTTAAAATAGTAATCATAAAAACACAACTATACAGGTTTTCAAAGTTACTGCAAATTAGTATTCAGACCATACCAAAACCATTTTAGTACAATACTCCTCTTCAATTATCCACCGTGTATTTTAATTAGTACTAAACTCTAATTGACAATAGAAGAAAGGCAAGCTACTGCAGTGTAACTTGTACAGGAGATCACCATTTTACAGAAAAAGTTGTCTTGTTATGCCAGTGTGCTCTAGGCTCTCACAGAACAGGAACACACCCTACAGCCTATAATGAAACATATATGTGACTTAGCATTCCAAATAGAAGGTTAAAAGACTTTGGTATGGCCTCAGCACTATTAACAAGTAAAAAGTAGCCTACAGAATTTAAGAAAAGTCCCACAGACCCCAGTCCAAGGCTCTGCTGCCCACGAACCACTTCTAAGCAGAGAAGCCACATCACACAGTCTGACTGCCATGTTAGTTTGGAGTTGCCGTCTGCAATATGGACACAAAAAGTACTGTATGTTAGATTAGCAAGATAATGAAACAAATCAGTTTGTACAAATTTACAGTAATTGCATTTATATTCCCAGCACGTCCATGCAGTGTGGCTTAATTGGATTTGAGGCAATTCCAATCTAATCTTAACAAATTCAGTTGTAAAATTAATTTTCTTATGTGAAATAAGATGCTTATTTTTAAGAAGACTTAGAAGATAATGCAGTCTAGTTACCCCTGCATCTACCCTGAAAACTACCTTCAGTACCACACCATGCCTAAAAGAAACTGTATCACAAAACAAATGTTTAAACCTTCAAGACTGAAGAGGAAAGTAAGGAAATACAGTGAGTTTATTTTCTATCAGCACATAAGATGATCATGCACTACAGCTCCCTTTACAAGTCTTTCCCAGCCCACAGGAAAAAAAAATACACAAAGATGATAAAGTACTATGTTAGAATTAATTCCATTTTTAAAATCCTAGGTTTTAAAAATTAGGTAAATGAAAATCTTGTACAGATGGTATTCACTAAGCTTCCTTGCAACAGCTGTTTAAAAGTACCACTGCACATACAAGTGGCAGTAGAGTCAAGGATTTACCAAGTGGAATAACTGGAACAAAACATTCAAGTGCTTTTCATTAGAGTATTTTGGTAACCAAGAATATTGTTCTTTGTTTTAACTAAAACATCACTGAAAATCCAGTCAGAATTACATTGAACAATGCTTGGAGGATACCACAAAAGCTAAGAGGCCGTTTGCAGATGATTACAGTCATCTGGATGATTAGTCCAGATGTGAAATACAACCATAACAGGAATAAACAAAAAGGCTCCTGACCACTGCCACAGCTTGAGACTGCTGTTAGTAAAGAGGTCCTGCACACAGTTAGCAGATGAGGTAAGTCTAAACTTGATAAAAAAAAGACTTACGTTTCAGAAGGCTGCTGCATTTAGGGTTTGAAAAGATGTACTTCAAAACTTTTTCCATTTTAAAATGGTGCAAGTTACTATTCATGTCAGTTTGCTACCAAAATCCATATGCTTAGCTGACTTCATGTCTGGTCTTTGTTTCTAACTTAGGTTAATTATGACCTTCAATCACCTTTTTATGCAAAATACTGAAGCTTCGGTATCAAGTGCAAGTTTGCATGCCATTCTTTGTGGTCTCAACCCAAAACTAACACTAACAACTTCTCAAGCTCTCAACTGTTCATAGGCAAATACGTTTGATGAACTGCTTACTACATGAATAAAATCTGGAGGTCTCAACTGACTTCTCTGAAGTCCAGACAAGCATTATTAAGAAGACTGCTTTAAAATAGCAGTCTCCAACATTCCTGTCCTACAGATTATAGTGATGTGCACAAAATGATGAATTTGGATCTCTATGGCTCTCAGCAAAGCAGTGTGACCCCACAGACTGTTTGCTGTGAACCACAAGCTGTAGACAGACAACTTCAATAGAACAGCTTACTTGCTTGTAAGGAGTTCAGTGTACTAACTGGAGACTTCACTGTTCTCTTAAGCACTGCAGCATTTCTCAAAAAAAAGCCAAAAGCACCTGTCAGTTGAAGTATTTCCAGCTTGCATAACACATTTATCTTCATTGAAGCATTCTATACAGTACTTGCAATCAGTGTGCAAGTCAGTTCTCTGATTAAAAAAAAACATTATGTCTCAAAAACTTATTTTGCTCTACCAGTTCTTCTACCATTTTTATTACTTTCAAGGCTGTACAGACTGCTCTCTTACATCTATTTTGGAAAACTGGCATTCTTACCATTTAGTTTTCACTTCTATCTGACCTAAAAACAGTATTAAATATGGCTAATTACATTCTAGGAAAAAAAAGAGAAAGTTTTCTGAAATGAGTTTTCAGCTTTAACACTGTACTAAACCAGCAGATTAACACAGAATTTGAGCTGTGAGTTTTCTTCCACTCTCCCCCCAAAAATCCAAAAATTTTTTAAAATATTGAACTACTGAAGAATACCCAGTATCATTAAAAAAAAGCTGATTCATTTTGTGACTATTAGCCTCAGGGACAGTATTACACTTCAGGTTATTAAAATAGCTTAGAAATTACTGGATTCAAAACTTGTAAAACCATTATGTTCAGGAACAGGATTCTATACCTACTGAGCAAAAGTCTATCTTAAAATACATTCAGATTAAGAGGAGAACAATAAAGCCAAGTTGACTGAGTAAATCTGTTCTCTTTCTAATGCTGAAAGGAAGCAGAACTAAAGACACAGTTGCTCAGTTCAACAAATTGAGCGGTTCTCTTTAACATGCAGTGCATGGCAGCCATCTATCATTCTATAAATTTACTTTTTTTCATCAAGCACAGATAAGATTTTAAACCCAAATACTCTTAAACACTGTTTATGGCATTAACTGAATGCCAGTTTCTAATTAGCTGCAGTTCAAGCAAGTCATCAGTAAGGTTTGCCTAGCAGAGAAGCAAGTAGGCTTTTTTGTTTTTCAAGAGAAAAGACATCAGAAGTTCAAAAGCCATATGGTTTATGCAATTAGTTCTGGTTGCCATAGAACAGTTCCAATTATAACAGCAGATTTTTATATGAGAGCTTTAGAAAATATAGTGGAGCTAGCAAGATGAAGACTGGCTAAACAAAAGTCACAGTGTCCTACTAACGCTGCTTTCAAACATAGGTATTTTGGTGTGCAGTATACTCAACTATTCATGCTCAGCAGAAGATGCAAGCTGAGGCTGGATCCCAGCAGTGCTGAGACAGAGCCAAGGAGGTGACAAAACAGGTGAGCCTTCAACCACCATTACCACCTCATATGCAGATGCTAGGGAGAAACGTTTCATGCATCAGACTTCTGACTAAAGTCTTTCTATCACCTGTTTCAATTCATACTTGCTCATCCTGGTTATTGCTGGGTGGAAAATAATTTCACATAGGTTTTATATACATAATTTACTCATATTTATAGACGCTGCACTAAAAAGAATCACTGCACAGATGCCTGCCGCAATTACATTATCTACTTCTAAACAGTATTATCACATAAAGGTGATTACACACTGAATTTAAGGCAGCAGATACTAAACACATCTGCTTACTTCAATTATGTTATCACTTCACTGTTCAGAGGCAACCCAAGCTGGACTATGAGATGCCTCCAGCCTCAAAGTTCACAGCCGATACAAAGCCCTTGGTAAAGTCCTAAGAGATGTAAATGTGCTCCTGAAGATTCTCCTGAGGCTTACATACCACAAAACCTTCAGAGCAAGCCTTAATATTTTGTGTTTGGCCTTCCATCCCGTTTTCCAGTGTAAGGGAAGCATGTAATAGATACAACACATCACCATTTGGACAAGCAAATACTTCAGATTTTGGGTTTATAATACCAAACTGCAGAACAAGAACCACCTCTGGCTGCATACATTCTTCTTTACCTCTTCCAGACAGAAAGTCTAAACCAGAACTTTGTTCTCTGCTCGTAACAAAGTTGCTCTCCTTCCAGAGGATTTATTCCATCCACTTTGACTTACAATAGCCATTAATGCATTTTAACAAGGGTAAACTGTTTCTTGTATGTGGGAACTATTGCCAAACATGTTAAATTTTAAAAAAACCCATAATTATTTGAGGGCTCACTGAAACGTAAGACCTGGCACAATAGAGATACTGAATTTTGCTTTAAAAAGCACAACTCAGAAAACCAAATTTTTTTTTTAGGTATTAAAATTTTAAGTGCAGAGTTATTGATACTGGGAATAGATGCAATTCTTCATGCTTCCTCTTTAGTGATTTTTATCTTTACTAGAGTGTTAATTTGAAGGACTCCTTTTTTTCAAATGGTCAAGTACCTTAGAAGCATATACAAAAGCACAGTACTAATTTTTGCACTCTCAAAAGAGCTGTACAATAAGAGATAACAGAGACTGTTCAATCTAGCATATGCAAAAACTATTACACAGCTTGCTTGAACATCCCGAAGTCCTTTATGGATAAACACAAAGGCCAGAGGCATGTCTTTAGTTAAGAATCTTGCCAGTCAGAACAAAACACCACTCACTCTTAGTTTCCCTATAAGAAGGATAGCTGTCAAGGAGAGCTTAATGATTGCTCTGAGATTCACATATTAACAGAACATCTTGTGCTTGATGAGTCTGCACAAACAGGCTAAATACTTATTTCTTTGTCTCTGTTTTCACTTTTTGTTTAATTGTATAAACCACCACTCGCCCATTAGCAGCCCTCCCCACCTGCAGGTACATTCATTTGCTGTTCCCTCCATTACACTACTTAAGAATCTGCAGCACAAACTAGATCAGGGTATTGCTTGATGAGAACTCACGCAGGAGAAGAAGCCAGAAGAGCACCTCTTGATTTATGCTAAGTCATATGGAAGAACTTTGATAAAATAGATGAAAGACAAAAAACTTCACAGAAAACTTAGAACTTTTCAGATAATGAGATGGTCTCAAATCTTCAAGTAACTTAAAAAGTTACTAATGTAAACACCAGCAATTAAGATCAGAACGCACAAGCCCTTTGCAACAATAAAAAGCAATTTTTAGCCTCTCAAAAGTGGCAGCTTAGAAGGGGAACCTTTTCACAGATTCTTCAGTGAATTATTAAAGAGTAATACCACTTTACATTTCTACATCTTGACCTTAAAGTCAGGATGAGTTGAAATAACTGAAGAAAATGAAGATGGTTATAAAAAAAGTCATATGAATTTTAGGGAAAAGGATGTATTTCAGCCCCGCGACTGCTGCTGCAGAAGTTAATTTGCAGAAGCTTTCATCAAGAAAGAAGAGGCACCCGAAGCAGATCTGCCTATTCCAGGTAAGTAGTGAGAAGACAACTGAAAAACTGCGGACAGTTGAACAAGAAACAGGTATTTGTAGAAGCATGAAAGAGCTTAATAGTGCTGGTAACCACAGGGAAAAGGACAGAAGCAACAAAGTGCAAATTATCTATGGAATGTAAGTATTTGTAGGAACACTA